CGCTCTTCCTCTTTGGGCCTCTCCCCCCCACCCCCCGACTCATCCCCAGAGGGCTGGGTGTGTGTTCATTCCATTTTGTAACGGAGGGAAATCTTCGTCTTTTTTCTCTGGGTGCTTTCTGCTCGGGCTGCTATGACAGAATAACAGACCAGATGGCTTATAAACAATGTGTTTCTTTCTCATGGTTCTGGGGGCTGTGAAGTCCAAGGCACCGGCAGATCTGGTGTCTGGCAAGAGCCCGCTTCCTGGTTCATAAACAGCCAGCCATCTTCTTTTTTTTTTTTTAAGTTTTTTTTTTTTTGATGTGGACCATTTTTAACGTCTTTATTGAATTTTTCACAATCTTGCTTCTGTTCTTTAGCCGCGAGGCATGTGGGATTTTAGCTCCCCCCGACTTAGGGATGGAACCCACGCCCCATGCATTGGGAACATGGAGTCTTAACCACTGGACCACCAGGGAAGTCCCAGCCAGCCATCTTCTCATCTCTCTGCTGGGTCTTCACGTGGCTGAAAGGGAGGGAGAGAGCTCTCCGAGCTCTTCTTTCTCTCCCCACCCCCCTTTCTTTTTTTTTTTCTATTCTTTGGCCACCCCACATCACCCCACCCAGCCCCGCGGGGCATGCAGGATCTTAGTTCCCCAACCAGGGGTGGAACCCTTACCCCTGCATTGGAAAAGCAGAGTCTTAACCACTGGACCCGCCAGGGAAGTCACTCTTTCTCTTTTTAAATTGAGATATAGTTGACATACAACGTTGTATTAGTTTCCGGTGTACAACATGATTCTCTATTTGTATATATTACAAAATGATCACCACAGTGTCTAGCTAACATAGTTACAATTTTTTTTCTTGCCATGGGAACTTGTAAAATCTCTCTTAGCAACTTTCAAATATACAACACAGTATCATTAACTCTAGTCACCATGCTGCACATTACACCACCAGGACTTAGTTTATAACTTATTTTATAAGTTTTACCTTTCGACCACCTTCACCTATTTTGCCCACCCCAGCTCCCACCTGTGGCAACCACCAGTCTGTTCTCTGTATTTATGAGTTTGGGTTTTGTTTTCTTTTAGATTGCACGTATAAGGGAAGTCATACAGTATTTGTCTCTGTCTGACTTACCGCTAGGTCCACCCATGTTGTCACAAGTGGCAGAATTTTCTTTTTTTTATGGTTGAATTATATATATATATATATATATATATATATGTATATATGTATATATATAATATCACATATATTATATATAATAATATATATAAACATCTTTATCCATTATATATATACGTGTGTATGGTGTGTGTATATATATACACGCACAATCCATACATACGTATATGTATACATATATGTGTGTGTATGTGTATATAGATATATAGATGTCACATCTTCTTTCTCCATTCATCCATCAGTGGATATGGGGTCTCTTTTATAAGGGCTCCACCTTCATGATCTAATCACTTCTCAATGGCCCACCTTCTAATACCATCCTCTTGGGGGTTAGGTTTCAACATGGGAGTTTGGGGCATTCCCTCTATAGCACTCAGTTTCCCTAAACCTCCATCCTTCCATCCCTTCTCCCACAACCCTCTCAGGATCGCGGCAGGACCCCAGGCTGCGCTGGCAGGGAAGCCCAGCCCTGGGCCGCTCCTTCGTGCATGGGCCAGAGCTGGACAACGGGCAGCTGCGTATCCAACGAGATGGCATTTATAGGCTGCACATCCAGGTGACCTTAGCCAACTGCTCTTCCTCTGCATGGACCGCCAAGCCCCTTAGCGCCACCCTGACCGTGGCCATCTGCTTCCCCACAGCCCACAGCATCAGCCTGCTACGCCTCAACTTTCACCACAGCTGCTCCGTCTCCTCCCAGCGCCTTACTTTCTTAGCCCACGGGGACATTCTCTGCACCAACCTTACTCTGCCTCTGCTGCCCTCCAGAAATGCTGATGAGACTTTTTTTGGGATTCAGTGGGTGTGCCCTTGACCACTGCACTTCCGGGCCCAGATTTGTTGAGAGAGAGTTTTTTCTTTGTTTTATCGTCAATTTATCTGTAAGTATTTTATTATTTTGGATACATTGTATTGTATCCAAAAGTTGTATTTCTCTTCCTGAGAATGCACTGGCTTTTTTTAAAACTTTTTTATTATTTTTTCTTTTTTTGGTTGCACCATGTGGCATGTGGGATCTTAGTTCCCCAAGCAGGGAATGAACCCACACCCACCTGAAGGGCATCTGAAGGACAGCATCCTAACCACTGGACCACCATGAGATTGCATTGTTAATGCACAGAAACATAAATGATGTTTCTATATTGATTTGGGGGTGTGTGTGCTGCTTTTTTGTTTGTTTCTTTGTTTTACTTTACAGAATCTGTTTATTAGATCCAACAGTTTTCCGTTAAAGTATTTTTTTAAAACTCTTCTAAAAATAAAAACAATTTTATTTCTTCCTTTCCACATCTGATACCTTTCTTTTTCTTCCGCAATACCTAGGTCATTTCGCACCTATATCTGTAGGATAAATTCCTAGAAGTGGAATGGCTGGGTCCAAGAGGGTGTGTTTATAATTTTGATATTTATTAACAAATTGGCCTCTACAGGTGTTGAACCAATTTAGATTTTTAATCTGCACCATGTGACCATGGCTGCTCTGTGGGATGTGAAAAGAAGGTTTTCATTTGTCTTATTTCTAATAAAAGGGGAGCCTATTCCCCGCCCCCATACTTCAGTGTCATTTGAATCATTTGTATTTTCTTTTCTGTAAAATCATGTGAGACACTCTATTTTTAATTGAGGTGAAATTCACATAAAATAAAATTAACCCTGTTAAAGTGGCATTAATGCATTCACATAATTATATTCAATATCTGGTAATAAACCATCATGGAAAAGAATATGAAATATACATATTTTTTTGAGAAACCACCAAATAGTTTTGCAATGTGTCCACTCCTTGCCCAGTTTTTCTTAACTGACTCATCAACCTTTTGCTTTCTGTTTTGTACAAAGTTTTTATATGTTAAGGAATTTAGCCCTTTATCTGTAATATGAGTTGCAAATATCTTCTCAGTTTGTCTTTTAACTTTTGACGTTGTCTATGTTTTGTTTTGTTTTTTTGCTGTGCATTCTTTTTATTTTTACATCCTTGGATGTAAATATCTGTTTATTCTTTAATGGCTTGTGGATTTCCTGATCCAACACTCTCCAAAATTCCACACTGCTCAAAATTGTTCTCACTTTACCTGGCTTGAAACGCACAGGCTGAGACCTCACCTCTATCCTGACATTTTCACAGTGCCCCCTCCCCAACACCTCCCTGCAAAATAAGTTACTTAATTAATTTAATTTAATTTCTTTTTTTTTTTTTTTT